AGCAGATAGTTGTATGTCATAGGTTCACATCCTTCTAGTTGCTGTACGTGGGACTCGGCCTCGCGCTGGACGGAGAAGTGGTGCCTTGGGGCGCGCCCGGGATCCGAACCCGGGCCGCCAGCATCAGAGCGCGCGCACTTAACTGCTAAGCCACAGAGCCGGCCCATTCACAATTGTTTTAAAACAATTCATCCACCCAGTCTGTTCTCCCACAGTTTAGATGCGGAAAATCAACGCTGTGCACTATCTCAAGTAGAACACAATCTAAGCAAGTCCTGTCCACCTGAACTCTGTCCTCTGGAGAAATTTGCCACCATCCTCTGAGCTAGTTCTCCATTCTCTCTAGTTTCAAATTTATGCTGTAAACTCAAGGCCTGGCACAGAGGCATTCAGGAAAGCGTGAGTGAATCAGTCACAACAGCTCTAGTACCACACATCAATATGCTCTGCAGACCTTCAGATTATTCTTCCTAGGGAAAGAGTGCAGTGGAGTTAGATAAGGAGCCATGGTCTTCCCTCTGCCCTCTCTGGTTAGTGCAGGCTCTGGCTCAGATACTGCAGAAACATGTTGGCCAGTTGAGGCAGGTTCTCATTGTTGGGATGCATTTTGGTGTAGGAAATAAACTGGCGACGGAGGCGACTCAGTTCTGCCATGGTCAACGGCCGGGTAAACCGCAGGTGCTCCGTAGTGCCAGGAAGTTTAAGCAAGTCTCCGGGGACTGCGTTCTTCTGAGCTTCCATCAGTCCCGCCAACACCTGGCTCGTGACCTGATCCAACTGGTGCAGAAAGCTGCCGGAGGCAAGGGGCTGGGACTGTGTGGACTGATGGGGTGGGGGAGCCCGGTTCTCAAACAGGGCAGTCCGGATCTCTGCCAGGGGCAATGGCTCCTCTAAGCCCATCAAGGTGAATAAGGGCCGGTCCCAGCGGTTCCGAGAGTCTGGAGCCTCGAAACGCAGCATTAGGGCCTCCAGCAGTTCGGGAGGGTAAAAGGCACTGGACACATGTTTTGCAGATTTCTCGAATTCTGGAGTCACGAGAGCTGGAAGATCAGGCGCCCTGGTTTCCTCCTGCTCCAGTTCCTTAGGTACATCCTCCTGGCCTCTCCCATTTACCACCGACTGCACAGCCTGCGGCTCCCTGAGGACACCAGCGCCTGCCGCCAGAGGTCTCCCTCCCTCCTCAGCGTGCGGCCTCCAACTCACACTGACGTTCCGGCTCGGGTTCTCTCCGCCCGCCACCCGAGGGCCCCCGCTCACACCGCCCGGCCGTACGCAGTAGACCAGGCAGAGCGGGGTACGCGCCGCCCGCGCCAGGCAGTAGAGCTCGTAGCGGAAGCCCTTGATGTAGTTAAGCGAGTCGAGGATGACCACATCGTGGCGACTGAGGCGCCGCTCCACCGCGGCTCGCAGGGCCCCGCGCAGCGCCTTCTCACGGGCCGCATCGCCGTACACTGTCGCGTCCTCCGCGCCCAGCACCGCCGCGTCGTCCACCACGTACACCGTGCGGCCCTCGGCCGCTAGGGCCCCGCGAAGCTCTTCCGCGCGCCGGCTCTTGCCGCTGTACGGCAGGCCGCAGAACACCACCAGCGGCATACTCTTCCGGCGCGGCCATGTGCAACCGCGCCGCGTCAACTTCCGGGTTGTCGCCGTCTCCGACGCGAACCGGAAATGCAAACTGCACTTCCTGCCTCCCTTGACTCGTCAAGGACCTCTTGTTGCTATGGAAACAGGAGTTCTACGCTAATTAGACCAAGGTCCTGCCCTTTAAGAAAGGAGATGGAGACTAGGATGGCATCAGTTACTTATGTCAAATGTTAAAGGTCTCAGGAGAAGGTGATTTCCTTTCGGCCAAAGACTATGCCCATCCATTTATAATGGGGCCTTAATGAGCATTAAATATTGCAAAACAATCGGTGCTATAAATTTAGCATATAGAAGGCAATTCACAAATGCTAGTTCTCCTTCATTCCTTACACCCAGTGACTCTCCGTAACTGTTTCTTCAATAACTATTTCAATCATTCAGCATTTTCACAGTTGGGGATTTACAGATGAACATAAAACAGTTCCCCCAAAGGAGATCAAGGGTCGAGTGGGAAGAGTTACGCACCTACAAGCAGAATAATATATACTCTAATGCATAGATGTAGATTATGTTGTAAAAGTACAGAAGAGAAAAACAAACTGCCCAGAAAAATCGCTGAAGACTTTATCTAAGAATAGTCATTTGATTTAGAACCTGAAAAACTAACAGGAATTTTTCTCCTGGGTAAGTTTGCCAGATAAGATATAAGATGTCTAGGTGCCTGCTGACGACATAGCCCTTAAGTTGGCAGGCTCCGCTTTGGCTGCTAGGGGTCCCCAGGTTCAGAGTGGCGTGGACCAACACACCTACCCACTGCTTGTCAAGCCATGCTGTGGCAGCATCCCATATAAAGTAGAGGAAGATGGGCACTGATGTTAGCCCAGGGCTGATCTTCCTCAGCAAAAAAGAGGAGGAATGGCAACGGATGTTAGCTTAGGGCTAATCTTCCTCAAAACAAAAACAAAAACATGTCTAGTTAAATTTGAATTTCAGGTAAACAACAAAAAATAGTTTTTAATATAAGTATGTCTCAAATATTGCATGGGATATATTTAAAATTACTTATGTTTACCTGAAATTCAAATTTAACTGGGCATCCTTATTTTTATTTGCTAAATCAGGCAACCCTACTCCTGCAGAAGGTGTGAGGCTCAGAGCCATGAAGCTGTAGGATCTGTTCTAGCTAAAGCAAGCACTATAGTTTGGTAGGTGCAAAAGTGTGAGTGTTTCTGTGCAAGTATGGGGGTGTATAAAGTAGGTGCACATAAATCAGGTCTTTGTATCTCTCCAGTACAGATAGTAGAGAACATTCAAGACTTGGCTCTACCACTTACTAGCTATGTAAACTACTGTCGAGTTATTTAAACATTCTTTTTTTTTTCCTTCCTAAAGCCCCAGTACATAGTTGTGTATCATAGTTGTAGAGTGGCAGCTCCTCTATGTGGGATGCCGCCTCAGCGTGGTTTGCTGAGTGGTGAGTAGGTCCATACCCAGGATCTGAACCAGGGAACCCCGGGCCACCGAAGCAGAACACACGAACCCAAACACCATGCCACTGGGCCGGCCCTATTTAAACATTCTGTATCTCAATTTCCTCTCCTGTAAAATAATAACAACAGTTCTTATTTTATAGGCTGAAACAACAGCATAGGTTGTGAGAATTAAATAAATTAATGCATGTAAAGCACTTAGGTCAATGTTGAGCCTTCCCTCTCCTGCTCTGCCTTTTCTCCTCCTTTGTATCAATTGTCTGTGCATAGACTAAACCTACATGGAACTTGAGACTATTCAACTTGAGACTGTTTGGCAGTATGGTTTACTGGTTGAGTGCAGGCTCTGAAGCCAGAGTGCCTGGGTCCAAATCTTTGCTCCACCACTTTATAGCTGGGCAATCTGGGGCAAGTTACTTCACATAATTCAATGTCTGGTGCATAGTAAGCACTTAATAAATGTTAGCTAGTATTATGGTTGTTGTTGTCAGGCAACTACTCACTTCTTGCCCTGCCTTGGCATAACCCTTACCTGAAATGCTAAGTTGATGGCTGGAAAGTGTTTTACCATTGTACATAACCTAAAACCATATCTTGTACCTGGCAGCTGCTTCTTTCTTCCCATCTTCTAGTGTCCTCCAATGAATGTGATCTCCAAAACCTGGAAGGAAAGAGCCTTATAAACACTCACACATGCACAAACAGCCAAGACCCACAAAAAAAGTGTGGCATGTTCACAAGATACCCATAAAAAAGGCTTTCCTCTGTCAAGAGCATGGTGTGCGAGTCCCAGCTCCACCACTTTCTAGATGTATGGAACCATGGACAGTCCCATACCTCACGCCTCAGTTTTCATTCCTGTAAAATGAAAATAACATGGCCTAATTCATAGTTTTTAAGGAGATTAAATTAAACGGTTGTGAAATGCTTTCTAAACTAACACAAGTATGCAAATAATGCTATAAGAATGAATAGAATTTTCCATAGAGTAAAAATAAAACAGGTCATAACAAATCATTACTATTTGGAGACAATATAGCAATATAACTTTAGAGTCAGAAAGACATGAGTGCATGACTCCACTTCCCATTAAATGTGTGAATTTTACGAATAAATTAAGCCCTCCAAGTCCCAATTTCTTCTCTGCAAAATCGAGATAATAATATCCACCTCTAAGTGTTGGTGTGAGGATTAAATGAGATAATGTATTTAACGCTATTCTTCCCCACACTTCAACCAGAGTGATCTTTAAAAATCACATCTCTGCTGGGTAAAATCCTTTCAGAGGCTTTCCAATGCCCTAAAAAGAGAGGTCCAACTCTTGTAGTTGGGCTTACAAAGGCTTTCAGAATATGGCACCTGCCCACCTCTCCAGGCTCACTTTTCACACTTTTCCTAGAATCCTACATACAAAACTACTTTCATTTCCTTAAAAGACAACCCACCAACTGGGAGAAAATATTTGCAAATCATATATCCAACAAGGGGTTAATCTCCAAAATATATAAAGAATTCATATAACTCAACAACAAAAAAACAACCCGATCAAAAAATGGGCAGAGGATATGAACAGACATTTTTCCAAAGAAGATATACAGATGGCCAACAGGTACATGAAAAGATGTTCAACATCACTAATCATTAGGGAAATGCAAATCAAAACTACAATGAGATATCACCTTACACCTGTTAGAATGGCTATAATTACCAAGACAAAAAATAACAAATGTTGAAGAGGATGTGGAGGAAAGGGAACCCTCACACACTGCTAGTGGGAATGCAAACTGGTGCAGCCACTATGGAAAGCAGTATGAAGATTTCTCAAAAAAATTAAAAATAGAAATACCATACGACCCAGTTATCCCACTACTGGATATTTATCCAAAGAACTAGAAATCAACAACTCAAAGAGACTTATGTACCCCTACATTCACTGCAGCATTATTCACAATAGCCAAGACGTGGAAGTAACCCAAGTGCCCATCGACTGATGATTGGATAAAGAAGATCTGGTATACATATACAATGGAATACTACTCAGCCATAAAAAAAAGACAAAATTGTCCCATTTGCAATGACATGGATGGACCTTGAGGGTATTATGTTAAGCGAAATAAGCTAGACAGAAAGACAAACACTGTATGATTTCACTCATATGTGGAAGATAAACACATGGACAAATAGAACAGACTAGCGTTTATCAGAGGGGAAGGGGGTTGGGGGGTGGGCATAAGGTAAAGGGGCACATATATATGGTGACTGACAAATAATAATGTACAAATGAAATTTCACAATGTTATAAACTATTATGACCTCAATAAAAAAAAAGACTTTCATTTCCTTAAACGCAGCATGCACTCTTTTCCCTCCAGTCTTCATAATCACTGCTTCCTCTGCCTTTCCTTCTACTCTCACCTCCAATTCATTTTTCAGGTATAAACCTAGAGGATATTTCTTCTGGTAAATCTTCCCTGACTCCCAAAGCACCCTATTCTTGCCCCATCACAGCACTTTCCAGGCTGAACTGTAAATGTTTGTCTGTCTCCCTCAAGCTAAAGGGACATCCCTTAGGGCTGGGACAATATCTGTCTTATTCTCTCCTGTTTCCCTAGCATTTAGCACTACATGTGGCCATAGTAAGTGCTCCATAGAATATTTATTGAGTAAATGAATCTTATTTAGCCTATATCACATAAATTACTTAATTTTATATCTGGAAAATGCTACTGATTTTAATAATGCTAGCTGTTATTTATTGACCACCTTATACGTGCCCGGTGTACCACACACACTATCTCATTTAAATTTGGCCTTAACAATAACCCTCTTTTATTTAACCTCTCTATTATTTCATTTTCTCATCATTAAAATAGGCATAATAATGGCTACATCTCATAAGATTGTTACTGAATATTAAATAATATATACATATAACTTAGCACAGTGCTTAGTATATTATAAATGATCAGTAAATAGCAGCTTTTGTTATTCTTTACAGTTGAGACTTCTGAGGCTTAAAGACCTGTACCAGGTCACATAGCTGGTAAATGGCCAAGTTGGGATTTAACCTTCAATTATATAATTTTCAGATGCTATGCTATCTTCCAGGACTTTCTTTCCCAGAAATAAATTCAAATTTCCAGCAGTGTTACCACAGAGAAATAAACAGCTCATCCAGATTAGCACATGGAGGCAGTATCCAAACCAACTATAATCACTTTTCATTCCCAACAGCATGGGCTGCTCGCCAAGAGAAAATGTGTCACTTGCCCAGGGCCCAAAGTCTAATCCTGAAGAGTGAACGATTTAAGTGAAAGTGAAATTGGGAGGATGCCCAGGAGAATTGGAAGGTGCCTAATGTGATCACCATCATTCTACCTGTCGATACCTAAACTTAGGCAACTGAATCCTGGTTTGGCAGGATGACTGACTAGACAGTCTGCAGGGATATCCACCTACAAAACGATGAAATCCAAGATAAAATGGACTTTCAAAATGTACTCACTTGGCTCACAGTAATAAACACAAAGTAAGCTAAAACCAGATGAGGAACACTGGGCAACAAACAAAAGTTAAGGCTGACCTGAAAGCAAATGTCCAATATGATGTGGCAAAATGGAGGAGATGAACCTGAGATTCCATATTAACCCACCATCAAGGGAGATTAGAATGATCCCAGGTCAGTAGTACCCCCCTGGTTTCCAGATGAATCAAATGCTAAACCTTCCTAGAGGAAAGCATTCCTCGTTTTAGGCCTCCAGGAGAGCCAATGATGAACAACCATTATGAACTCACAATCATAGATCTCCAAACACATAAGAAAACAAGTCACCACAAGTAAGAGTCAGCGGAAGCAACAAATAGATTTAGACCCCTAAGGACTTCAGATATTAGAATTATCAGCCACAGGATACAAAAATAACCATGTATGAACGTTTAAAGAAATAACATGTGGGACCACAAAAATGGGCATGCAACAACAACAAAAGAAATAGGCAAATCTGTAAAGGCCCCAAATAGACCTTTTAGAAATTAAAAACATAATTGTTGAAATACAAAATCAATGGATATTCAGTGATAAAAAGAAATAGCTATTAAGCCACAAAAAGACATGGAGGAAACTTAAACGCATATTGCTAAGTGAAAGATGCCAATCTGAAAAGGCTATATATTCAATATATGGTTCCAACTATATAACAACATTCTGGAAAAGGCAAACCATGGAGATAGTAAAAAAATCAGTGGCTGCCAAAAGTCCACGGAGGAGGGAGGGATGAATAGGTGGAACACAGAATTTTTATAGCAGTGAAACTATTCTGTATGATTCTGTAAAGGTGGACATATGTTGTTACTAAATTATGTCCCCTACACCAAATTCATATGTTCAAGTCCTAACCCTCAATACCTCAGAATGTGACTTCATTTGGAGACAGAGTCTTTAAAGAGGTAATTAAGTTAAAATGAGGTCATTAGGTGGGCCCTAATCCAATATGACTGGTGTCCTTATAAAAAGAGACACATATAGAGAGAAGACCATGTGAAGACACAGAAAGAAGACAGCCATCTACAAGAAGAAACCAACCCTGCCAACCACTTGACCTTGAAGTTCCAGCCTCCAGAATTGTGAGAAAATAAACTTCTGTTGTTTAACCGAGTCTGTGGTATCTGTTATAGCAGCCCTAACACAGTAATACATATGTCATTACACATTTGTTAAAACCCAGAGAATGTATAGCACAAAGAGTGAACCCTAATGTAAACCATGGACTTTAGTTAACAATAATGTATCAATACTGGCTCATCAATTGTAACAAAAGTACCACACTAATGAAAGATGTTAATAATAGGGGAGAGTGCGAGTGGGGGAGGTGAAAGAGTGAGGGCTTACATGGAAACTCTGTATTTTCTGCTCAGTTTTTCTATAGACCTTAAATTGCTCAAAAAATAAACTCAATTAAAAAAAAAGTCAGGCCGGCCCCATGGCTTAGCAGTTAAGTGCACGCACTCCACTGCTGGCGGCCTGGGGTTCGGATCCCAGGCGCTCACCAACGCACCACTTGTCAGGCCATGCTGAGGCCGCGTCCCACATACAGCAACTAGAAGGATGTGCAACTATGACATACAACTATCTACTGGGGCTTTGGGCGGGGGGGAAAAAAAGGAGGAGGATTGGCAATAGATCTTAGCTCACAGCCAGTCTTCCTGAGCAAAAAGAGGAGGATTAGCATGCATGTTAGCTCAGGGCTGATCTTCCTCACACACACACACACACACACACACAGAAATTCAATGGATAGGTTAAAATAGCAAATTAGAGACAAGTGAAGAGAGGGCTGGCCCGTGGCTTAGCGGTTAAGTGCGCCTGCTCCGCTGCTGGCGGCCCGGGTTCGGATCCGGGCGCGCACTGACGCACCGCTTCTCCGGCCATGCTGAGGCCGTGTCCCATGTACAGCAACTAGAATGATGTGCAGCTATGACATACAACTATCTACTGGGGCTTTGGGGAGAAAAAAGGAGGAGGATTGGCAATAGATGTTAGCTCAGAGCCAGTCTTCCTCAGCAAAAAGAGGAGGATTAGCATGGATGTTAGCTCAGGGCTGATCTTCCTCACAAAAAATGTAAAAAAAAAAAAAAAAGAGACAAGTGAAGAGAGAGATCAGA